CAGAGCCCCTCCAGTGTGCAAAGCCGGCCTGGCCCTGCCCCTGAGCTCTCTACTGGCTCCCACCTGCCCTCAGGATCTGGAAAATGAAACCTCCTCTCCAGGTGGCTGCCACAGTTTAACAGCAACAGAATGTAAGAGTGACAACAGTTAAGTCACATGGAGTAACTGCCCCCCTGCACCCAGAGGCCCAGGGTTTTGTCTCCTCCCGGCCCTGCTGAGGCCCCGCACTGTTAATGAGTGGCAAGGTCGCAAACCGCCCACTCTGCCTGCATGGAAAGGCCCGCCTGAATGCACAGAGGTGGGTTGGGGACAGCCCCAGGAGCTAGTGGCCTCCCCACCCCCAGCATGCCAGCCGCTGGCCCTGGGCACATAGAAGGGGCATGGGACAGGGAAGGAGCTGGGCCCTGCACCGGGCCCCATCCAGCAACTCTGTGCAGGGAGCCGCGGGGCAGGCTGGGCTGTGAGGAGCTTCCCGGAAGAACCAGAAAGCAGGCCTTTGTGTAGGCCCCCCGGCCACCCCAGCTCTGTCCCTGCTTCTTGGCCCATCCCTTCTGAGGGGACTACACGCACCTCTGCTCTGACCAGCCAGCCTCGGCCAGGGCTCCCCAAGCCATCTCTCCACTTCCAGTCCTCAGCTTCTGCCCAGGCCCCCCACCGATGAAGCTTGGGCCAGGGTCACCGCAACCCACTTCTCGACCCTGACTGCACTTGATCTCAGGGGCCCAGGGTCGTGTTGACCACACCTGCCTGTTCCCCCCTCACCAATACCTCTGCAGCCCTCCTCAGGACCCACTGGGGTTCCCAGGGCCTCCTCTCCCGCTTGGCGCTTGCTCCTGTGCAATCCTTCTCCATGCCCACAGCTTTGGGACACGAGCCGTGACCTCACATCTGCGGCCCCTGCAGGAACCTGAACTCCACTGCAAAGGCTCTGTTCATCTCACACCCCCTCCATCAGCCTCAACAGTCAGAGATGACAAAACTCACAGCCTCTGCCTGCCCAGACTGCCGCTGCCCTGGCCGCCCACCCTCACCCCTCCCGGCTCTCACCCACACCTGCTGGTCGGCAAGTCTGGAGTCTTGCCCGTGGCCTCTCCCACCCTTCTGGCCTCACTGCTGTCCCCTCCTGGGGACCAGAGGAGCTCCTTCATTTCACAGGTGAGGCTCAGAGGGCCAGGTCACACAGCTAGACTCCAGCACGCCTGAGCAAGGAAGCCAGGGCTCTTTTGTCAGCAGTATTTTAATTACCGGGGGAGGGACAGGGGCATGGTTAACGAGGCTCTAGGGATCAGCAGAGCCAGATGCTGGAGGTCCCAGCAGGCCAGGCGACTCAGCAGGGATTGGGCGGGGCGCAGGTCTGAGGGGTTGACAGTGAGCTAAATTCTCACCTCCCCTGCACCTTCCAGAAAGATAGGCTGCAAGGAACAAATGAGTGAATGAATGAAGGAACAAACAGAGGGGACTCCAGCCTCTTTACGGTGGCCTGGGACCAGGGCTGCCCGAGAACAGGGTCGACAGCACCCCCAATCGCACACACACACACACAGAACTGCACAGAGGCTAGGCCCCTGTGGGCCCTGGAGACACAGGTCCCAGTGGCTGTCTTTCCATCTCCCCTCCCAGCTCAGCCCAGATGCATGACAGGCCCTCCCTCCACACAATCTGCTGGGGAGGCCCCAGGGCACCCAGAGTCCTAAGTAGCCGCTAGGCTGCAGTGAGAACAACATGCTGGGAAGGGACCCACGGCACACTGCCCACGGCCCTGTGATAGGCACGGGCAGTATTGCACATGCAAGGCACCGGGGTGAGAAAGAACGGGGCGCAGTAGTGAGGGGCTCCCACAGAAGGTGAAAAGGTGGCAGGCACAGGAAAGCCAGCACGGATGGCCATGAGGCCTGGAATGCTAGGCCGAGAAGTTGCATGGGCTGGCCAGGGTTGGTGGTCCCCCCCCAGGACCCTCAGCCCCAGACTCATTCACCCATCTGCTTCTTCATCCAATATCCAGCATGTTTAGCACCACTGAGTACCAGGTGACCCGGCCCTGTGCTGGCCACACTACTGCGGATGGAGGGGGACATAGAACACAGAGCCATTTAAACATGACTATGAGGGGTGCTGTGGGGAGGGGCCTGAGCTACCTGGTGGGGGGGTGGCCAAGGAAGGCTGCGCTGCAAAAGTGGGATGAGTGGGAGCCGCCAGGCAATTGGGGGGTCATTCTAGGGGCAGACACAGCCTAAGCAAAGGCCCAGAGGGGTGAAGACAGGTTTAGAGGAGGTAAAAGAAAACATGGCCAGGACACAGACAGCGTGAGATGGGCTGGGACCCGCGGCGGCCTCCTGAGGGCAGGGACATCTGGGAGAGCAACCGAGCCCCCTGAAGAGCTTGAATGGAGGAGCAGAAATGCGTGGGTGGAGGCGCCCATAACAAGGATGGACTCATGAAGCTGTGTGTGGACTGTAGGGGTCAGAGTGGGGAGATAATGGCGGCCTGGACTATGGTATGGACGAAGGGGGCACTAGCCAGTGAGGAGGGCTGCCTGTCTTACCCTGACTGTGATGGGGCAGGAGCTTCCAGTAGAGAAGGTAAACTAGGTTCCTGACGCTGGTCTGGGCGCCCGGGCTTCTGCAGCAGTAGCTCCACGTCCTGTCACCTCTGCCCAGAAGCCGGTCCAAGCCCCTCCTTGGTGGCCACGACAGCGCGGTCCCCGCGGGAGAGTCCAACACACTCAAACCTGCTGGCATCGCCCTCCCGGGGTCCCCCGGGGCCCCACTCGCCCTGGTTTCGGCCCTGCAGGGGTTCCCCGGGCCCCAGGCCGGATCCCCCAAGGCCTCGGTCGTTCCCACAGCGGTCCCGGGGGCCCTCTCCACAGCGCGTCGCTCGGGCCCAGCGGTCGCTAGGCTGCAGGCTGGGTCTGCCGGCCAGGCCTGGCGCTGGTGGCAGCGGCGGTGGCGGCGCGGATGGCGGC